GGGGTAGTATTGCGATCAAGGCCTTTCACGTAATACAGGGGTGCAAAATGAATTTTACCCTAATATTATTTTAATTCAGGGGTACCCGTAGTTTACTCAGTCATAGTTTGTTTAATAAAAGGTAATTTAGATTTTAGACAATTCATTCATTCAGCTAGAGTTTATAACGATCTGTTAGTCGTACGAGTACTTGTATTTACCAATAGGGGTGTGTACGGGTCGGTACAGCTCGGTCATTTCCAATAAATCAAACACGTACCGATAATATCGGTTTTTCATATTTTAAAAATAGAATATCTCGGGTTTTTTCGGTTCGGTGTTAATCGGTTTTCCGATTTTCCGTTAACGGTTTCGGTAACAATTCGGTCTATTTTCGGTTTTGATTTCGTCTATTTGTTCGAATCGGTTCAGCATAAAATCGATATATTTGGACTTTCATTATATTTATTTGATAAAAATTAACAAATAACAACCGAAAATTAACTAATAAAAAACACGTCACAACCCAAAATTAATTAATAGAAAAACATGTCACATGGAGACGCTCGAAAGATAGAGGCACGCTAGGGTAAGTATTTATACTATATATCAAAACGACATCATTTTGTATAAATCGGCTCGGTAATTTTTTTATTCTCCATACACAAACCGATATTTTCGATTTTTCAAAAAACAAATTATCGTATATACAATTTTAAATCGGGACGTTGCATATCGGCTCGATTTTTTTGATTTTCGGTTCGATCTTTTGGTTTTTCAGTTTTTTTTTTCACCCCTATTTACCAACAGCAGATGTGTTTGTAAGTTATTTAATTTGGAGTATCCATAAGTAATAAAAAATAATTCCTCTAATTAAATAAATAAATAAATAAATATGTGGACAGGTGATATAAGTACTTAGTAGTGGAAGAAAGTGGCTAAAAGAAATTCATAAATTTAACAAGTTGTAACTACGAAGATTAAGCTAAAAGCAAAGACTTTTAAGTTCTATGTGATTGTGCATACCACACTATATATGTATAGTGCACATCATGTGTAACGTATATTTAGGCCCCCTTTTGTAGATATAATAATGGGGAAATTACAGTTTTCATCCTCAAGTTTGTACCGATTTGGTCTCTCATGTTTCAATAATTTAATATTTTTGGTTATTTACGTCAATTTATCGTGACTCTGTCAGTTAAGGCAGTGATGGAAATACGCTTGATTCCGTTAGTTCTAACGCAAAATTGACGGAAGTGACTAAAAGTGTTGAAACTTTGAAACATGGGGGACTAAATGTGTTTTTTTGTGAATATGGAGGACCAAATGTAAAATCAGTGCAAATATGAGGGACCAAAACTGTATTTTGCCCATATAATAATCACGCATACGCAGGGCAAGATACTTAGCTTCGCTAAAATTACGAAAAAACCCCTCATATTTAGATAACTACAATCATTCATCAAGTATGTATTATTTTACGCGTCCACTCTTACAATGTCCAAATTTACCTGCTGAATGAGGGGTTTTTCATAAGACCGTGCATAATTGAAGGTGGTGGTTGTAATTACCCAAACATTTTCCATAACTTGGGGTGGCCGTAATTTGCCTTCAAACTAAGCTATAATAATGAAAATTAACTTTGATTGGCGATATATCAAAGTCGATCAAACCTATCGAACGAAAGGGCATAAAAGGAAGAATAATGTACACAAGATTGGCTCCACCAAGACCCTATTCTTTTAAGGGCAAATTACCAAAACCCCCCTGAGGTAAGCCTAAATAACGAAAATCCCCCTCACGTTCTCGTAATTACGAAAACCCCCCTGAGGTATGCAGACATCTTACAAATCGCTCTAACGGTGTTAAACTCAATAGAATCTTTTTGATTCTCCCGAATATTCCTCCGATAATACCAATTTTGCCCTTGTACACGAAATTACCCTTAGGGGGATAATTGTAAGCATTTTATTTAATGAGGGCGTCATAAATATATACTATTCATGAAATATATAAGTGTCTGCAAAATACTTATTCTTCTTAAATTAAACCCAAATATAATCAATCATTATGAATGTACAATGTATTTTTATTGGATTAAAAAAATCAATGGATGAGATTTCAAAATTTCATTATTTTTTATATATAAAATTAAATATTTTACAATTCGAGAAATACAACCATGCATCGTTCAAGCTAAAAGCATAAATCCGTATGAATACTCCTCTGGATAAATAAAATCAATTAAAATATATAAATAAAAAAAATAAAAAAATTATAATATCAAATTATCAATACAAATTACAAAGTAATAAATAAATTTATAAAAGCAATAAATCATCAAGTGAAAGGGATGTCAGGGGGGATTTTCGTTATTTAGGCTTACCTCAGGGGGGTTTTGGTAATTTGCCCTTTATTTCATATTTAACAGAAGGATATAATAGACATTTCACGTTTTCGGTTAAAATAATTCGGTCAACCGTTAGTCAAGGGGGGTTTTCGTAATTACGAGAACGTGAGGGGGATTTTCGTTATTTAGGCTTACCTCAGGGGGTTTTGGTAATTTGCCCTTCTTTTAAATCTCAGTGCTCTGTAAAAATATATACAAATAGTTTCAATGGGGCAGGAAATTCGAGTCGGAGTGATGGCTTCTTCCTTTAATCATTTCTCTTTTTCGAAAAAAAAAAGGGAATAAAAAAAAAACGAGAATAACTAATATTCAAACTTCATAGTCGCCATCGATCTTCGTACACCTTTTGTGATGAATAAAGTTAAAAAAGATAATAAACTCAATCGTAAAAGATCATGGTATGATTTTTTGTCGATACGAATGTCGAAAAAACTATAGTTAAAAAATTATTGCAGGGAGTGTTAGAAGGGACGCGAGAATCAGTCAGCTTTCTGTCATAAGTTTTTACATGGACGATTCGAATTTGCGTAAACTTTTTTTTTTTTTTTTTTTGGTTATTTTGAAAGTAATAGTAAATCAAATATTTATCTCTAACTATACAATGTAAGTTGTGTTGCTTAGATAGCTTTCCTTCCTTTACAGCTTTGTTCTTAGATAGGCTCGTATTTATTTAATGATCGCTTTTGAGCCAATTTCGTCTACTTTTGTACTATATTTATTTTCTATTTTTATTGACAGGTTGGCATCTGCCTAACTCCCACATCGGGTTGTTTCTATGCTTACGCCCGGTGAAGGTTACAGTTTTTTTTTTTTTTTTTTATGGCATGATCTACACACACCAATGTGGGTGTGTGTGCGATAAAAGAGGGTGCTCTATTAAAGAAAACAGGTTAAACAAAAGAAGTGCATATATGCTATAGCTAAATTTACCAGTTAGAAGTTGAATTTGGCACTCTTATACGAACACTTTAACCTTGATACGCAGTTTCTTTCTCTGCTTTCGAGTTTCGACTTCACATAGCTCCTGCAGATTGCAAATATTCCGTTTTACGAGTTACGAAAATTAAATGATTAAATAAAAAAAACAAAATAAATAAATAAATAAAAAGTAAAGAATAAAAGAAGTGCGTACTGCAGGACAAGAACTGACATGCATATAATGTAAGAATCCATTTGGAGAAAACCATAAATAAATAAATAAACAAAACAAATCAAAAAACTAAATTAATACAAATAAAAGTGAATGGTGGGAAGCACTATCATTGTGTACCATAGCCACCAAAAATAATTATAAAAAAAAAAAAAAAAAAAAAAAAAAAAAGTTAAGAGAAATTCCTTAAAAAAATATAACTAAGTGTACGTCTTTTGATACTTAGATCCTAGGATACTACTATATATTGTTTGTCATACATATGTATATATATATATGTATATATATGTATGTATGAAATAATATATCCTTATTTCTTTCTTGTGATCACTTCTTCACAAAAGCTTCTGCAACTTCCCTCCTTCTTCTACCTCAGCCGAACTACGATAAGTTATCGGCCATGCCTCTCTGTTCTGTAGCTCCGAAACCGGAAAACGATGGCACCGAACTTGCCATTGGTCTACCAAATCCCGCACACAAGATTTCGCAATCCTTTCGACAACGGGCTTTATACCCCATAACTTTAAAGGTCTCTCTCTCTCTCTCTCTCTCTCTCTCTCTCTCTCTCTCTCTCTCTCTCTCTCTCTCTCTCTCTCTCTCTCTCTCAGTTAGAACCCTACTGAATATACTTTTTTTACATTTCAGTTCGAAGAGATTGTATACAAGGTAAATGGCGGAAGAGAAGGAAGTTGTTGTGGAGGAGGAGGAGCATCGACCGCCACCGGAGAAAAAACGATACTCAACGGAGTAACGGGCATGGTTTGTCCCGGGGAGCTACTGGCAATGCTCGGTCCATCAGGCAGCGGCAAAACCACCCTCCTCACCGCCCTCGGAGGCCGCCTCACCGGGAAATTATCCGGCAAGATCACATACAACGGCCACCCTTTCTCCAGCTCCATCAAACGCAAAACGGGATTCGTCGCACAGGACGACGTACTATACCAGCACCTCACCGTTTTCGAGACGCTCTTATTCACCGCCCTCCTAAGGCTGCCGAAAAGCCTCACCAAAGAAGAGAAAGCAGAGCATGTCGAGCACGTGATAGCAGAGCTGGGGCTCAACAAGTGCCAGAACAGCATGATCGGGGGCCCGCTTTTCCGGGGAATATCGGGCGGGGAGAAGAAACGGGTCAGCATAGGTCAAGAAATGCTGATAAACCCTAGTCTGCTGTTGCTGGACGAGCCCACTTCCGGCCTCGACTCGACTTCGGCGCAGCGGATCTTGAAGACGCTCAAAGGGCTCGCGGGCGGTGGCAGAACCGTGATTACAACCATCCATCAGCCCTCTAGCCGTCTTTATTACATGTTCGATAAGGTTGTCTTGCTGTCTGAAGGCTCCCCGATCTACTACGGGCTCGCTTCGACTGCCTTGGAGTATTTCTCTTCCGTCGGGTTTTCGACTTCCATCACTGTCAACCCTGCTGATCTCTTGCTCGATCTTGCTAACGGTAATTCGAATTTTTTCGACCTTTTCTGTAGAAAGTCTTTAACGTGTGTTCTAACTATACGAAATGGTCGTATGTAATATCAGGGATTGGACCTGATTTCCAGAATGCTAATACCAACCATAGCGAAAACCCGCAACAAGATCCGTCGGCCGTACGAGAATTTCTCACCTCTGCTTACGAAACGAACATTTCGACGAGGCTGAAAATCGAGCTGTGCAGTTCAGACGGTGGCAGCTACACTTACAAAGAAGCATGTGCAAGTAAGTTCTGCTAGTAATCTTATCCATTCTCTCTCTCTCTCTCACTTGACTTTTTGTTTTTATCGGCTACTGACGAAAACAAGTCTCGTTGATGCAGAAAACGACGTAAGATCGGAGAAATGGTGCACGACTTGGTGGCATCAGTTCAAGATTCTGCTTATACGAGGACTGCGCGAAAGAAGATTCGAAACCTTCAACAAGTTGAGAATCTTCCAAGTACTAAGCGTGGCGATTCTCGGTGGCCTTTTATGGTGGCAAACTCCATCCTCTCACATTGATGACCGTGTAAGCTTTTACGCAATCGTAGTAAAAAAAATGATGCGTTTTTAGGCGTAGTTTGCTAATAAAATTGAATCATAGGGTTGATTTTGCTAATATTTATCAGACGAGGGATTTTTTAACAATTAGAGTAAACACAGGGGTCTTGAATGCAATTAACCCAAAAAGCTCGCCGTGCTATAAATATTAGCAAAAACCACCCTATAATGTATTTTTTTCAGCACGCAACCCCCTAAATGCTTCTTTTCTAGGGGGTAGTTTGCTAATAAAATTGAATCATAGGGGGGATTTTGCTAATATTTATAAAACAAGGGGTTTTTTAACAATTAGAGTAAACACAGGGGTCTTGTATGCAATTAACCAAAAATCTCCCCGTGCTATAACTATTAGCAAAAACCTTGATATAATGCATTTTTTTCAGCACGCAACCCCCTAAAAGCTGTGTTTCTAGGGGGGTAGTTTGCTAACAAAAGTGAATCATAGGGGGGATTTTGCTAATATTTATAAAACAAGGGTTTTTTAACAATTAGAGTAAACACAGGGGTCATGTATGCCATTAACCCAAAAATCTCCCCATGCTATAAATATTAGCAAAAACCTCCCTATAACGCATTTTTTTTCAGCACACGACCGCCTAAATGCTGCGTTTCTAGGGGTAGTTTGCTAACAAAATTGAATCATAGGGGGGATTTTGTTAATATTAATAAACACAGGGGGTGCTCAATGCAATTAACCGAAATTCTTGTAGATCCTGAAACGAGTTATATGTCGAATGTACAGGTGGCGATGTTGTTCTTCTACTCGGTATTTTGGGGATTCTACCCTCTGTACAATGCTGTATTCACCTTCCCACAAGAAAGAAGCATGCTGATCAAGGAACGTTCGTCCGGTATGTACCGACTCTCCGCGTATTTCCTAGCTCGAACAGTGGCCGATCTTCCGATGGAGTTAGCTCTGCCGACAGCGTTTACGTTCATCTTCTACTGGATGGGCGGACTCAAACCGGACCCTACCACCTTCGTCCTCTCCCTTCTGATTGTCCTTTTCAGCGTCCTCGTTTCGCAGAGCCTCGGCTTGGCGTTCGGAGCCGTACTCATGGACGTCAAACAAGCCGCGACGTTAGCATCGGTCACGACTTTGGTCTTCCTGATTGCTGGTGGATACTACGTTCGACAGATACCGCCGTTTATAGTGTGGCTGAAGTACCTGAGCTACAGCTACTATTGCTACAAACTTCTTCTCGGCGTTCATTACACCGAGAACGACTACTACGAGTGCGCGGAGAAAGTGTACTGCCGCGTTTCGGATTACCCCGCCGTTAAGTCGGTGGGGTTGACCAATTTGTGGGTGGACATGTCTGTCATGCTGCTCATGCTGATTGGCTATCGGCTTGTCGCGTACAGAGCCTTACACCGCGTGCAGTGAAGTGTAACGTACTTTACGGCGGACCCCGTGTAACGGTTTTTTTTTTCTTTCTAATTTTACCGATCCGACCGATAAATAATTATATATTTTAGAAGCGAATAAATATACCCGCTGCCAGGTTTTGATCGTAGAAAACACCTCGAAAGATTATTGTAGTACACGACTGGCAGGTGGTTTATATAAATCCGATTCACGGAAATTTTTAATCTTTTATATTCTACGGCACGAAACGTGAACATGCGCGTCCGCACGAGATACGCGGGGACCAAAACGAGAACAAGCGAGCGAACGAACCTTAAAGCACGATTGCATTTTCTTTTTTTTTTTGCAGAACAGGAATATAAAATCCATGTGGGGCATTGGAATCCAAGAAACTGCTCTGTTTGTGAAATTGGATTATGCAGGTTAAGTCCATGATAGTGATCTGCACACAAGAAAAATAATTGTTTCATTCTTTATATTATATGGTAAATTACGGTCGCCCCACTGAGGTAAGGTCAAATTACAAGAAAACTCCTCGTATTTGGATAAGAATTTTCTTACAAGTTCATATAGCGATGTCAAATTTAGTCGAATCTTATAGATTATGTGGAATATTCTCTAGTTTGTACCCGTTTTACCTCATTCGAGCTCCGTTTTTTGAAACAAGATGATTCATAAGATGTGTCTCATAGCTTGTAAATATCAGATTGTGGTGCATCAGAAACTGCATTGTTTGTACAAAACGAGTACAAAGTAGAGAACATTCCATCGGAATCTAGAAGATTCTGTTGAATTTGACACCATAAGGATGGACGTGTAAGAAGATTTATAGTTGAGGGAGGTTGTTGTAATTATCCAAACATGAGAGGTTGTTTTCGTAATTTACCCTTATATTATATAGGTGGATAAATCCACTACCATAATTATGAATTCAAGATAAGAGCACTACCTTCAAACCAACAACTTGGAGTTTTTATGGCATGTAGGGAACAAAAGTGAGGATCCACCAAAAAGATTTCTCCATCCTCACTTCTTTAATCCACAAACAAATTTCCAATCGATAACTCTCGACGTAATAGTCAAATTACAAGAGCTCGATTATCTGTTTCTGAATTTCCGATTCAATGCAAAATTATTTTTTAAGAAACGAGAGAAACGTTGAGGCGTAATAGAGATATTAGCTAGTTTCCAGCAACATAATCGTACCCGAGTAAGTAAGGGATTGTCCAAGGATAAGGATTGAGGAAGCATGTTTCAACTTCACATTTGTGCAGTGCTCACCACCATTTCACGCTCGTTGTGAAAAAGTAGAAAACGAGAGGTGTGCGTTTATACAAAAATGTCCTTTTCAAACTTCTTATGGCTTGTGGTCTCCACGTTGGTGGTAAGAGAAATGAAAATGATTCGGTTGCTGTACATTTGGACGGTTGAACATACACCGAAACTAACAGCCGAATTAAAGTGGCTGATTCAAGAAATCGCATTCGTTACATTTTTTATTTAAAATGACCAAAATTGAGAAAAAGTCGGTACCTAAATCGAAGTCATGCCTATGTTTTTTTTATCAATAATTCGAGACGCCGGGAGAGGAATTGGGGAACCAGTAACTATCCTCCTTTAAAAAAAAATGTAAAAATGAAATAAAATCTTCTAGAAAATTATGGATTGATCACTTTACAACTCTCTATGTACAGTTGACTACAGATTTCCGAAATCAACTAAAAACAAGATGAAGCTGATTCATTTACGAATTACTTTACACGAGTTTTCCTATCGAACCAAAGCTCTCAAACACAACTTTAAAAATTCGACAAAAAATTCAAACAAGTGTCTGAACAACCAAGTGTTTGACTCGATTCAATTCATTTGCAAACTGGTAGGCGTAGTGATTTCAACGGAGGACGAAAATTGCAAAAAAAAAGAAATAGTTATTGGAGGACCAATTTCGCGCCAGAAAAAGTTTAAGGACCAAAATAGACAATAGTATATAATATAAGGACCAAAACTGTAATTATCCTAATAATTATCAAAGTTTATTCGACTGTTAATTCTAAAATTAACTTGATTCAATTTTTTTTGTTTTATTCGATCAAAAGTTTATTTCACTCCGGCAAAACCTCTGCCCTAATTCCCAATTGAAAAGAAGCAATTTGGTACAAATCCGCAAAAAAAGCACAAATAAATCGAACGTTGAGCTCGCCTGCAGGGTAACTGCAAATCATGGATGACGATGAAGGGGGAGGGTTTAGACTGAACAAGAATCTATCGGACAAGGGCGGCGGCGGCGGCGGCGAAGTTGATTACAAGACGACGGCGGGCACGGCATGGTCGCACTCGTTCCTGAACCAGAAGCCGTGGCACCCACTCTCCTATCCGAATCAGCGCCGCAAGTGGATCGCCGAGCAGACCCACGCCCAGAGGGAGCGCCGCGCAGAAGAGGTTGCTCGCGAGGTTCGTGATTGTTTCAATTCTTTTTTTTTTTTTTTTTTTCATCCGATTTTGTACTATTGGAAGCTGGGCGTTCGTCGTAAAAAAAAATGTGGGTTTTTGGAATTGGAAAAGATTTGGTAATATGGAATGTACTATTGTTGGATTTTTAGTCTCTGTTTTGCTTAGGATAGGAAGTACATTATTCGTAGTAATTTTTGTTTTTGGTTATGTTTGGCGAATCCATTGGCTTAGTATGTTGCAGTTGCATTGTTCCGTTTTCATGTTTGCCTTTCGAATTGCGTTCATATTTCAAAAGATTGTATTTTTTTTGTAAACGTGTTTGCTCGTTTTATTGTTTTATTTTTTTAATCTCGTTATGATTATACGTTTTCTTTCATTTGGCTCGATTGTGCTGATAATCCTATTTATCTCTTGAAAAGTGTTTTTGTTTCATATCATAGTTGAGTAATTGCACCTCTTTATTTATAAGATTGCGGTTGTGATGCTTTTTTTGGGCACTCATCAGCATTTTTTGTTTATTGTTCTTTCTCGTGTTCTCGATTGCATCTCTTTATTCGTAGAGTTTCAATTTTAATTATTTTTTTCTGTCAGTACTTCATTTTTTCTTCATTGTTCCATTCTTGTTTTCTGTTCGTTGCAGTATGCACAGGAGCAGGAGTTTCTTCGGCAGACTGCACTTATTTCCAAGAAAGAAAAAGAGAAGGTTAGAGAACAATGTAGTTTTATATCACAACTCACAGTGTTCGGTCTCTTCAATGCGTTCTCTTGTATTTATGTGGGTGTAGGTTTAACATCACATGAATGAATATTATCTTATTTTATTTCCCGATTTCATACCCATGTTTGGAAGCACGCGATTATGCGAATTTGACTGGGTTTAATTTTCCTGTGGTTCTCAGTTGGAAATGATGAAAGCTGTAAGCTTTATGTATGTCAAGCCTCCTGGTTATAATGCCGAAAGTGCTAAAGCGGCTGAGGTTGCCGACGAGAAAAAACCGCAGGAACCACCTCTAGACGACACCTCATCTTCAGTGTAATAATTTCTGTAGAAAGAAAGTGATTTCTTAATTTCTGTTTCTTTTGTCAGACTATTAAATTCGTCTTGGTATTTCGCCAGGAAGACAGAAACCGAGCCCCCTGCAGTGGAGAAGAAGAAACGAAGGCCAAAAGATGTTTTTGGTCGTGCTTTACCGACAGAAGAAGAATTTGAAGTTCTAAAAAATGCTCCAAAGTGAGTTTTAAAAACTGGCTCTTTCTCCGCAATCGAATCTTGTCTTATGCCGTGTTGGATTTTTTAGGGTCGGGTTGCATATGCTTAAATATGTTTACAATAATGACGGTTTTTTTTTCCAGGTTAGAGACTGGAGTTGCTGGCAGGGTAAAACCATTTGCAGTTGAAATCCGCAATGTGAAATGTCTTAGATGCAGTAACTTCGGCCACCAAAGTGGTGATCGTGAATGTCCATTGAAAGATGCTATAATGCCTAATGAAGAAAACCGATTGAAACGGGATGACCCTTTAACAGCTATCCAAGCCCAGACTGATTGTGGCGAGGTAATCGTTTTTGAATTCAATTCGTATCATGCTTTATTTATTATGTCATGTGATCGAATTCATAATATCCTGTTGCGTTAGCAGCTCACCGGTGAATAATATCAATCGTGTCTAGAACTTACTATTTGTTCGGATATTCTTGTTTTTTTTTCACTATGGGATTGCATTCTAGTAGCAAAGACGAATTGAAGAATGATAAATAAATGATGAATTGACCTCTCGTGCAGCCTCTGAAATGGGAGCTGAAACAGAAGCCGGGAATGAGTCCTCCTCATGGAGGATTCAATCTCGATGACCCCAATCAGCAGATAGTTGCCGAGGACATATTCGACGAGTATGGAGGTGAAAACCCTTTTTTTTTCTTTTTTCTTTTTTCTTTCTTTTTTTTTTTTTTTTTTTTTTTTTTTTTTTTTTTTTTTTTTTCTCTTCGCCTTATATACGATTGTGTAAAAAGTAGTAATTGTGAATGGGATTTTTTTTTTAATTTTGATCTTTCGTTTTTCCATATTATGTGCAGGATTTCTTGGTGAAGCTAATATACCGGATTTGCTAACAAACTTTTCCTCAAGCAAGACGAAGAAGAAAAAGAAGTCTAGTAAGAGCAAAAAGCATAGAAGGAAGTCTTCTCCTGCAAATAATGATACAAGAGATGAACAAGGGAGTGATGAGTCATCATCTTCTGGTGAGGATAGGAGTAGAAAATCAAGGAAGGTAATACATAAGAGGAAGAAAAGAAAGCATTCAGAATCGGAACCGGAACCGGAATCGGAATCGTCTGACGGTAATAGGCATCATCGAACAAGGAGGAACAGCCACAAGCATCGTGGTGACTCGGATTCTGATGATCTGCGTAGGAGCAGCAGACATCGGCATCGGCGCGAGGATTCCCACCACCATCGGCGCGAGGATTCCCACCGCGATCGGCGCGAGGATTCCCACCACCATAAGCATTCCCATCGGCGTTGACGACATCATCGACGGAATGACATGATGTCATCGTTACATCAGAGAAAGATGTTTTCACATGCATCAGTTGTCTTTGTAAGCACTATAATCTTTTTTCTCCATTTTTTATTTCTTTCTTATAAATAACTCACGTTCCGAGTGAATTCGGCGCCCGTGTAATTTTTCGCAAACTACGTGGGAGATGTAAATTGTATTATTGTATTAGGTAAGAGATGCAAGTTTTTTTTAGGTTATTGAGTTTCCTCACAAACTATCAATACTTCAAAAATCTACTTCTCCACACACTATTGAGCCTGGTATAGAAACTCGATAGGTACCTGACAACACGTTCGGAGTATTCGGATGTTGCTTCAATCTCGTATCAAATCTTGATTGGATAAAATTTTATAGGAGTTGTCTCTGCGAACTTTGAGCTAATGTTGTGCCGATTACCGACACCGATAAATACATTAACTTCACTCCGACTCCTTTTTCTCATTGTCTGATATAGACGAAGGTGTTGCTTTTCCTTATACAAAGCACAATGTTTCCATTCGGCAATACGGCGACTATATCATAAAGATCCGGGCTGGGCCTCATATTACGTGGAAGCCAACTTCTAATCAACACGACATATTTGGACCAAGATTTTGAAACTGCATGCTCTTCCATATAGTAATCCGATCCTAAACATCCATCACAAAAAGACGATCGTTGAACACTCTCGGTTTCAATTGAAGAGGCATTTGAATCCCACTACCGCATTTCTCTCTCGAGAAATCAAAAGTAGTACATATCCGATTATCGACACTGAGACTGTCATCATCATTCTTGGGGACCCAACGGTAAAATCCCCCGAAAGAGACTATGTCGGACAAAGAAAACAAGAAAGTGAAGGGATCGTCCGCGATTCTCCATGCTCGATCGATCCCCGACACTGAAAATATAGGTTCACAACACTGTCTGGTTGCGATTGTAAATAAATCTCATGATTTTGTATTTGTCGATTTCATAAAAAGTAACCGATCTTGTACTCGTAACCCCACACCCATCCTGCAACTTCGACACATTCTCTGAAAAACGGGTTTGAAAGATAAAAGCTTTTCGATCAGGTGACTATAGAAACTCAAAATACCATACCAAATCGGGTCGGATTCGAACTTGTTTGAACTTTGAAGGAGGGAAATAAATAAAATGTTAATTTGATGTTACATCTCTACCCCTATAGACAATAAGCAATTAAACTACGCCAAGTTACAGCAGTTGTACATTTTGCATTACAAATCGTACCTCCACAATCTCCACTGCTAATCAGTATATAAATACGAACAGAGAAATTGCAAAACCCTTCCTTATATATATTCCTCCCATTTTTTTCTCTCTCTAGGGTTTTACAGCAGAACACTCCACCCTCTCCGATCAAGGAAGAAAACTCGAGCACCCAATGGCCACGTCAGCAAGGGTTTTTGGCAACAAATGTCGAGCTCTGATGGCTGCGGCGAAATCCTCCGCCGCCGCCGCCTCCTCCTCCACCGCCGCCGCTGCTGCGAATGCTCCCCCTCGTGCCACCGGCATACTGAAGGTGCAATCCGTATCACCTGCTCTCGCGAAGTTTCTCGGATCTCCCGAAGCATCTAGGTCTGGAGCTATAAAGCAAATCTGGGACTACGTCAAATCCAACAATCTTCAGGTAATTAAATTTCATCCTATAATGCATTAACATTTCTATCATTTTGGGTAAATTAATTGTGTGTGTGTGCGCGCGCGCTTATTATAGTTATCGGGTTTTCCGACGAACATTTTAAATGTGCAATGTACTGTTAAATGGTTTTGTTCTGTGCCGCCCTAATCGTAACATGAACATGATATATTACTGAGTAATGTTACGGTTGATCGAGTGTAAACTGCGATTGTGAAATAATGCATTGACGTTTCGTATCCTGGTATTCAAATTGAAATCTATAGTGGATAGCTTGAGATTTTAACGAAGTAGACGTTTTATTTTCCTTTGTTTTTCGTTGATGTTGCATTGTTTTATGAATAAATTACACTAGTGCTCGAAACTTTTAATATACTACCTATTTACAGTAACAATCGTTTTCCCATATGGCGAGTGTTAATTACGATTTATGCCACTGCAATTTCATATGATACGAGTGAATCAGGATGTTTTTCTTGGTAAAGAAATGCCACCCCTGGCTCTCTGTACTCTATGTTCACCACATAAATTGACTCACGAACGGTCTAAATATAGAATGTAGAAATCTAATTCCGCTCAAGATTATTCTTCAAAGCTTCACTCGAGTTCTGACTTCAGTATCTAAATCGATTAGTCGTGTTACTTGGTATAAATGAATGGGTTTTTGTTCGTGTGGATATTGTGCATGAGTCGAGATTCGTTCCTTTTATTTCCCCTAGTATTTTCCAATTACTTTTATTGCTCGGAAGAGAGGATTCTGGGTATGTTTCTCGTTGATGTTGGATTTCAAGATTTAAAAGGTTATAAATGGCCGGAAACCTAAATACCAATATTTTGAAGGATGTAAATGCAATTATAATAACTTTGATATCTTTTGCAGAACCCATCCAACAAAAGAGAGATCTTTTGCGATGAAACACTGAAGTCCATTTTCGATGGGAACGACAAGGTTAATTTTCAGGGTGTGGCGAAGTTGTTGTCCAACCACTTTCCGAAGGCAGCATAAAGTATGCTAGGCTAGTTCTCGTTAGTAATTCTGCCCGATTATGTAATTGCAGATTGAAGCATTTTGTAGCTGTTGTGTTTTATGCTTTGTCGTAATCCTGTCAGCACTTCTTTCTTTCTTTCTTTTTTGGTTTTTAGTTGCAAAATTTGGTGCATATATCGGATTCTCTTTATGCAACTCGGTTTTACGATGGCATGGAAAGCTTCACTCGGCAGATCTTTTACTAATTTTTCGTGAATTTCTCCGAAGTTGACTAATATTTGTTGGCTTTTTTGGCCATTCTGTTTGAAGGCTATATATACTTTGGGTAATATTTGTTGTTGATTGAAATGTCAGCACAAGTTTCTTTTGTTGTGATTGAATAATTGTGGTAGATTTTAAATCTTTTTACAATACTATTCTTAATATATATATATATATATATATATATATATATATATATATATATATATATATATATATATATATATATATATATATATTATTTTTCTTCATAATCTCTCAACTAATATTTTTGAGAATTCTGGACTATTTAGAGTAAACTTAAGATAAATAAAAAAATCAATACATACATCCAGTTTGAAGTTACATCAAACAAAAGTTATAGATTATATAGAAGTAACAAAATTCTCAAAATAATAGTTAATAAATTACGTCACCCCTGAAGTAAGGTCAAATTGAAAAAGACGACGTGTAAAAGAATTCATAGTTGATGGATGGTAGTAATTACCCAAACACGAGGGTTTCTTTCGTAATTTATCCTAAAAATTAAGAATTAACCATCAATGTATTTTTTTAAATTTTATTTAGTAGGAATTTAACAAGGCAACAATATAAATATTTTTTTATCTTTCCACCACCACGGCACCACCTACCCTGCTCACCACTTCTCTCTCCCTTCCCAAATCTCTCCGCAATGGCTGACCATATGAAAGAGAAAGTAGTCACAGTAGAATATCTCGATGTTCTCACTGCAACCGGCGAGAAAACTGGTATCTCTAAACCCAGGTGAGATCTTTTTTTTTTTTTTTTTTTTTTTTTTTTTTAACTTAGGTAGAAACTAAAAATTGAGATGAAAAAAAAAAAACCAATAAATTGAAATGTTACGGTGGTGATTTTATACGTTTTCTATTGAATTCAATTGATTTCAGGTGCACATGTGCATGGCTTCTTTCTTCTTTTTCTTTGTCTGCTGTTACTTTTTCTTTTTTCTTATTTTTCAGGGTAAATTACAGCCACCCTTGGATAAAAGTCAAATTATGAAGTAACCCCTCATGCTTGGATAATTACAACCATTCCCTCAACGATGAATCGTCTTAACACTTGTGGTGTCAATGGTGTCAAATTTAGTAGAATCTTTTAGATTATATGGAATATTCTCTAGTTTGTACCCATTTTACCCTATTCGAGCTTTACATTTTGAAACAATATGATCATATGATATGATGTTTCTCTTGGATGAATGGCTTGTAAATATCAAATTATGGTGCATAAAACTGCATTTTTGCATTTTTGTACAAAGCGAGTACGAACTAGAGAATATTCTACGGAATCTAGAAGATTATTGTTGAATTTGACACTATAAGGTGTGGACGTGTAAGAAGATTCATAGTTGAGGGGTAGTTGTAATTACCCAAACATGAGGGGTTTTTTGGTAATTTGATCTTACCTCAGGGGTGGCCGCAATTTACACTAATTTTTATGGATTGTGGAAGAAACGGGTTTTAGTGCTTGTGAGTTTTTTGAGTTAATGATTCTTCGACAAAGTTGAGGAATTATATAGTTCAAAGTACTTCATCTGTTTCTTTGTTTTCTTTTCCTTGAATGGCGACTTTTTGTTAGAGAACAACAGTACATATGAGGCATGATATATCAATGCATTCACTTTCAGATATCAAATTGCTAGTTCGTTCGGCGCTAATTAATAATTATACGTGACATTTGCTTTTTATAGGGGGGATATCCATAGGGATGGAGATTACCATAGAGCCGTTCACGTGTGGATATTTGCCGAGAGCACACAAGAGCTCCTTCTTCAACTCCGTGCCGAATGCAAAGATTCATGGCCCGGGTTTTGGGACATTTCTAGTGCTGGTCATATCTCGGCTGGTGATTCGTCTCTTGTCACAGCAAGGTACCGCTCACTCATTTTTTGAAGATTTTAATTATTTTAGCCGATATGCGGATGCACAAGTTTCCGATTCTTGAATGTTCTTCTTTCGTCATGTACCATGATCTTTGATCATCTTTCTTATTATGCATGGGTTTAACATGAATAAATGATTGTGTATGATCTACGGACGTGAAGTATTAACAAATTCTCTAAACTAGAATATACAGTAGAACCTCGATTAAATAATAATTTCTCTCGGTCCCGACTCGGTGAAAACGTGTTAAATTATTAACTCGATAATTTAATAATTCGCTAAATTAATAGAATTTCCCTATTCCCGACAGTATTAATTTATAGAGGCTTTACTGTAATAAGATATTGGAATAACATGACTGGAAAATATAGCTGTCTACACTCTCTACACTCTACAGTGAACCATGTTGACTAAATAATCCTATTAGGGCCCTCTTTACTGCGTAATGTTGTTCAGATGTGCATATATAACTACATTTACTGTTCAAGTGCACGAGCAAACCCGATTTTCCTTGTTTTTTTTACTTTAACATGAACTAATCGTTTTTTGGTACTGTTCTTAAATATTTTTTAACAAGAATATATTTTTTTGCTGCTGCAGGAGAGAGCTTCAAGAAGAGCTTGGTATTACACTTCCAAAGGATGCATTTGAACTGCTATTTAATTTCCTCGAACAGTGGTCAGTCAGTCGAATATTAGTTTTTACTTTTTTTTTTATGTTTCCATATTTTTTATGTCAGTAACCGTTAACAATCCTCAAGAATTTGTATTATTTTTCTCCTTTTAGATATTATTTTTCATTTCCTATTGCATTCTTCGTTTACGCATGGTAAAGTTGATTTATCTTTTATTCTTCAAATAATCGAAACATTAAATTCTCATTTATTACCTGGTAAGTTTTTCAAGATGAATTGATGTACGTTACGTACACCATGTATTTTGGTGACCAGTTGCAATTCTAGACTAATGTTCTTGAAAGAAGATTTCGTATGCCAAAATTTTGTTAACCTAATTGCATTTTCATTTATCTTTTAGCATAATTGTTTCTAATTGAAACTAGCCGTCTTGTTGGACTAGTCAGATTTATCTGAACACGAAATGCACGACAAATTATGCGTTTTTTGTAGGGTCACAAATGCCGGAAAGTTCATTAACAATGAATTCTGCGACGTCTATCTTGTCACAACAAAAGATCCAATTCCTTTGGAGGCTTTCACTCTTCAGGTTCGAAGGTTACCTGTAAACAATTATTCTCGATCCGTATTTTTTTTGTGCTTGTTTTGCGGTTAATATTATTCTTTATTACGAATAATTTTTTCTATGCTACACTCTGCCCCACCACACAAGCTTTGCTGAAACCTCGGATTCGATGTTTGATATTTGTTGTTTGAAGGAATCTGAAGTTTCAGATGTTAAATATATACCGTTGGAGGAGTACAGAAGCTTGCTTGCAAAAAAGGATTCTAAATACGTGCCTTATTATGTAAACGGTCAATATGGTCAGCTCTTCGATATTTTGTCGAAAAGGTAGGCTTTGAAGTTCTTTGGGTTATTGCCTTTTTCCTTTCCCCGCCTCAAATTGTTCTTTAGTCGCGTTAAATTTTCTATATATCTATACGATACATTTGTGAACTCAATTTTGTGTGAATATTGCACGGGTTACGAGGCTTACTTTCGTTTTCCATTACGTTCGACTGACAAGATATTGTTTTGTTACTATGCCCAAACTGAATTGGGCCATTCATTCTGATCGATATATATAGGTACAATCAAAATGCCGATGAACGCGTTTTAAATCTACAAAAGCAGCTGAACCGTTATGCTCCTGTTTCACTCGACGCGGAGGTCTTTAATTTTTTTTTTTTTCTCCTTTTAATACGACTGCATGCCAACGAATTGACGTTCTGAAATAATTTAACAGCTGGCTGGGCTCAGCGATGCAGACAAGGAAGCTCTGACTTCAATCGTTAAAGCTGCAAAAATAATGGACCAAATTGCCCTCCTTCAGGTTGTTTTCTGGCCACATTTTGTGCAGTATGTTCGTAAAAAAGTTTGGTGATCATTTCTAATCCGTACTGTTTCATCGAAAGTAATATCTGCCTTAATTTTTCGAATCGTTAGAAGGACGATTGTTCCTCTCCGTGTTTGCTCATTTTTACTTCCTTCTTTAAAACAGGCTTGGTACAGCAATCCATCTTTACGAGATTGGCTAGAGCTGCATGCTGATGAATCTCAGTTCGACAAATTAAAATGGATGTATTATATTGTCAACGGAACTCCATGGTATATTTGATCTCTTTAGTCATATGCTACTAATTATAAATGGGTAAATTACGGCCACCCTCTGAGGTAAGGTCAAATTGGTAAGGTCAAATTACGAAAACCCCCCTCGTGTTTGGGTAATTACGACCACCCCTCAACTATGAATCTTCTTACACGTCCACCCTCGCGGTGTCAAATTTAGTGGAATATTCTCTAGTTTATGGGGAATATTCTCCAGTTTGTATCTCTTGGCTTGTAAATAAGATTATGTTTGAAACAATCTGATCATAAGATGTGTCTCTTGACTTGTATATATCAGATTGTAGTGCATCAGAAACTTCATTTTTGCATAAAACGAGTTCAAATTAAAGAACATTCCACGGAATCTAGAAGATTATATTGAATTTGACATCATAAGGGTTGACGTGTAAGAAGATTCATAGTTGAGGGGTGCTTGTAAATACCCAAACATGAGGGGTTTTTTCGTAATTTAACCTTACATCAGGGGGTGGCCGTAATTTACCCTATTAAAAATTGAAGCTATTTTTGATACCTTCCTCTTAAGTTCCACTTTATTCTTTTTCTGTCTTAAGGTCTTCTTTGGATGAAAATGAGGCATTTTTGACAACAGCAGACTCGGCTATAAAGCTTCTTCCTCAAGCTACAAAACCCGTGACGGGGTGGAATGGGATTGAATACAGGACAGCATTTCCTGTCGTGAAACCACCCGGTGCAAATTTTTATCCTCCAGATATGGACAAATTGGTATAAAAACATGTCATGCATTTTACACGTCAAAAAAAAAAAAAAAAGCTCATGTTCGTCTTTTTGAATGGCCTTTTTTTTTTCGGGTTCATCTTCATTATAGGAATTTGAATTATGGAAAAATAGTCTGCCCGAAGATAAACAGAAAGAAGCAACAGGGTTTTTCACCGTCATCAAAAGAGAGAGTGAGAGAATATTGGACGAGTCGCCATCGCAAACCTCACAAATCGGCACTAGTGACGCTCACGATCTATATATCGTCCCTTACTCCGAAGAGTACAATACTTTCCTTACAAAAGCTTCCGATTTACTGCGCAAAGCTGGGGATTTGACCGACTCTGCCAGGTGAATTTTTGACTGTTTCTGAAATTGAAATCGATGAATCGAAACTTAGTTCTTCAATAATTGAATCTTCCTGGTGCAGTTTGAAGAAGCTGTTGCATAGTAAGGCTGACGCCTTTCTATCGAACGAATACTACGATTCAGATATTGCCTGGATGGATTTGGTTAGCTCACTCTTTTCATTAGCTTTTCGTTTTGTTCATTTAGAGGGTGTTTGGCTAAGCTTATTAGATGTTAAAAGGAGCTTATAAGCTCTTCTAAAGTGTTTGGTAATGTTTTTAAAAAAGAGATTATTTTTTAAAATAATAAGCTCTTGGAGAGCAAATAAGATCTTTTAAAAACAGTACCTCTACCCCACCTTTTTATTTAAGATCTTATAACGAGTAAAAATAGGAAATAAGCTCATTTTCCAAACATTCTAAAAATTAATCCTAAAAATAAGATGTAACAGCTTATCAGCTCTTAAAACATCTTATCAGACGTAAGAGCTTATCAACTGTTTAAAATAAACTTAGCCGAACACCCTCTTACTATGCTTTCTCTTCGTATGAATATCTTTTATATTTTCGTTCGTTTTTCATATTCAAGGATTCGAAGCTGGATATCACTATTGGCCCGTACGAGACGTATGAAGATTCAATATTTGGATACAAGGTACTTCAATTTTATTTTACGATAGGAAGTATCAATTTTGGCATGTACGAATTTACGTAGAGTGATGAAAAAGATCCAATTTTTGGCACCTTATTCGATGATTTTGCAAACTAGGCCACTTTTGAGGCATTCGTTGCAGTTCGGGATGACGAGGCAACAGCTCAACTTAAACTATTTGGTGACCAGTTACAGGTGCCGTATAAAGTTACATTTGCTGTTAAGCCATTCTTGTAATAAAACTCGCTCTTACGAAAACTGCTGCGTTTCCAGGTTTTGGAGAAGAATCTTCCGGTCGACAGTGTTTATAAGTCAGAGGATGTGACTGCAGCCCCGATTCGAGTCGTCCAGCTTATTTATAATTCTGGGGTGAGGTTTTCATGCAAATTTTTATTTGGTAAAAGCGCACTTATATTTGCTTTTTCTATATTTTACGATGCAATCAGCATACAATGAAATCACGTCAACGCCAATTATCAATTATTAATTTACTTTGTACAAGATTATTTACTTGGAGACTTAGGAATTTATATTTTCGTTTTTTTTTTCTTTTTGTGTGCTGAATCGAAAGAAGGTCAGATGATGTGGCAGTACTGAGTTGTTGTTGATAAATGTATTTGCAGGATGTGAAGGGCCCACAAACTGTCGCGTTTAATCTTCCCAATGATGAAAGGATAGTCAAAGACAGAGGAACCTCTATGGTCATGCTCAAGAATGTTTCTGAAGCAAAGTAAAGTTTCCCTTGATCAAAATGTCGTACATTTGCGATTGGAATAAAATAATTTATTGTTCTCTTAAAGTACGGCCGCCCCTGAGGCAAGGTCAAATTATACGAAAAAATCCCTCATTTGGGTAATTACAACCACACCTCAACTATGAATCTTCTTATGGTGTCAAATTCAACAGAATCTTCTAGATTCCATTGAATGTTCTCTTGTCCGTACTTGTTTTGTGCAAAAATGTAGTTTCTGATGCACCACATTCTGAAGCCAAGAGACACATCTTATGATTTCAAAATGTGGAGCTCGAATGGGGTAAAACGGGTACAAACCGAAGAATATTCCACATAATCTAGAAGATTCCACTAATTTTGACACCACAAGGGTGGACGTGTAAGGAGATTCATAGTGGAGGGGAGTGGTTGTAATTACACAAACATAGAGGGTTTTTTTGTTCTTTTTTTTGTAATTTGACATTACCTCAGGGGTGTCCGTATTTTATCCTTTTTAACATATATCATTTTTTATACCAATTTTCGTGAGGTTTTAATCTGTCAGGTCTGGTTTTCATTGCCAGGTTTAAGCTTATTCTTGAGCCTATTGCACAGGCATGCATAAGTGAGGAGCAACGTAAATACGTTGACTTTGACTCTTTCTTCACTCACACAGTGTGTCATGAGTGCTGCCATGGTATTGGACCTCATACCATCACACTTCCAAACGGCCAACAATCTACAGTCAGATTGGTACGTTTCAACGTTTTTTTGCTGTCAATGCTGTTATATTTTTTGTGTATATCCATGATAATAAGTAAGGGGTCATATATTTAAGGGCAAATTACAGCCAAATTACAATAAAGCCCCTCTTGTTTGGGTAATTACAGTCACCCCTCCTTTTAAATATTTTTACATAAAATTTATGTAATTCGGTTATTTACCGAACCAAATCGTATATTTAGTTAGTAAACGGTATGAAATGTTGGCATACCGAAATTTCGGTTCGCTTTTACCGATTTAATATCCCTAAATTTACCTTTGTAGGGGTTTTTTGGAGGTGTTTTTTCGTAAGATATAGTTGAGGGGTGGTTGTAATTACCCAAACAGGAGGGGGGTTTCGTAATTTAACCATAACTCGGGGGTGGCCGTAATTTGCCCTATATTTAAATAATAAATATTTTGACTTTGACTGGTTTGCTTCCAATAAATTGTCTTCTTTAAAACTATCTTTTTCCGCTAATAGTCGAAGAACTTTGTCTAACGGGCAGGAGTTGCAAGACCTTCACTCGGCTTTGGAAGAAGCTAAAGCAGATATCGTGGGCCTTTGGGCCCTAAGATTTCTTGTTAACAAGGTAACAAAACAATGCCGGATTTTTTTATTTATTTTAATTTTTATGAATCGTGCACTTTATTTTCAATATATGGAGAAAAATAGATTTTTGGGTGTACTAGAGTTTCATTTATCTCGTGAAATGCAAAGTGTTCATGCGTAATTACAATTCCGCCCTTACTATGCATGCCGTCTTTTTCTTTGGCTTATTGATTCTATTAATTAGCATTGATCGATGCCTTTTTTAACGAGCATTTTCTAATATATTGACAGAATTTACTACCAGACACCTTGATCAAATCGATGTACGTTTCTTTCCTGGCTGGTTGCTTCCGCTCCGTACGTTTCGGCTTAGAAGAAGCACATGGGTATGTATATGCCTTTTCATTCTACAGTATAATATAAATTATTATATAATATAATAAATCACAAATTCACGTAAAATTCTAATCGATGTATTCTTCTTGTTTAATGTCTTAGGAAAGGGCAAGCATTGCAGTTTAATTATTTATTCGAGAAAGGGGCCTTTCTTTTGCACACCGACGGAACATTTTCGGTTGACTTTGATAAGGTATGAACTGCGCGAGACTCTGATTGGATATTCTTTCAGATGAACTAATTGCATGGTACTGTATCGTATCTCACTGTAGGTAGAAGATGCGGTAGAGAGCTTAAGTAGGGAAATTCTCACAATACAAGGAAAAGGCGATAAAGAAGCTGCGAAAACTCTTCTTACGAAGCATGCTGTGATTACTCCGCCACTAAAATCCGCTCTCGATAAACTGGAAACTATTAAGGTACGCCCCCGTTTGTCTTTTTATTTAAGGCTGCGTTTGGAAGTATTTCGAAATTCGCCGTAAAAGAAACCCTTTAAACTTATTATTGGAATCGTTTTAAAAGAAATTCTTTGAATTATTGGAATCGTTTGAAATATTTATCTCAAGTTCTTTTCTTCAAAACCAAATGGTGTTCAATCCAAAAAATTGTGCTTGACGAGCGAAATTTCCAAATTCCGCCAATTCCGAAATTCCCGATTTTGGAACTTTTTTCTTTTTCCTTTCTGAATTCTAAAAGTTCTGATTTCCGATTTATTTCCGAAACTTCCAATTATTTTTCGAAAAGTACACCTATAATAATTTCCGATTTTCCAAAAACTTATTTTCATTCCATTTTCAGAAATTTCGATCTCCGATTTTTCCATTTTTTTCGATTCTTTTGGGAACATATTCGGAATTAGTTTTTCTCTTCTGAAACAAATTTGAATTTTCTTCCGAAAAAAGAACTATAACAAATAATTCTTTTTTTGCTGTCAATTTTAATGGATTTCTGACGAGGTTTTTAATTTGTAATTCCAGGTTCCTGTTGATATATTGCCTGAGTTCCCAATTGCTGATGAAATTCTGCGCAAAAGCATCTGATGAATTGCAATCATTGATTTAAGCTGTTATAGCACTCTGTTTGGTTGAATTGTTATTGAATAAATAACTAAATTATCAACATTTTTAACTATTTTGTTAAATGATTTTTATTTAATTTTCATCCATAGTTTAGATATGAGACCAAGGGTCCAATTCGACCAGGACCCGAGTCATAAGGACCCGTAAAGGTTTACTAGTTCGACCCGGACATTTAAGAAAAATGATCGATTACCGAAGGTTAGTTTTTTAAAAAAAAAAAGAAGGAAAATTAAACGGTCGTATTCTGAAAAATAGGCGGGTGATGTGGCGACCGACAGGTCGAACTTGAAATTGAGGGCTGAGATGATCTGGCTGTTGATGATCAACGGCCCAGATTTTTTGTGTGTTGCATCAGTTTAAAAAAAAAAAAACTGATATATAGGAATTGGTTCTGGTTTTCCTAAACTACTAGAGGGGAAAGCGGTTTTGTGTAGCACACAGGCTTGAATAAAAATATAAATTTATATGTAACTGATATCATGTTGAGCAGCCAAAATTGATTTTACGAAGTGTATTATTAAAATATTACTTATTTATTTAATCTGATTTAAAACTTCAACGCCTTATTATGTATACAAATGGATAATTATATTTTTATATACTTGATTAAATAATTCTTTACCTAATTTGTTTTTTTATTTAGATTAAAGAGTTAAATTAAAAGCTTCAATTTTGATTTCAAATAGTCAAAATATTTTTTTATATTCGTAAATATTAATTGAATAATTGTTGCATTTGGATTAATAAAGAATTTTAAAATAGGGATTGGAAATTCTTGATAACATGTTCATTGAGTTTCTCATTACCCTGATAATTAGAACAAAATATTTGTTTTATATTATAATTTTGATGGATTTAGAATCCGCGTTATAACATGCTTTTCTATATTACGGTTCAACCGGTCGAACCGGACCGGACAAGACAATAGTTCAAAGTTTAATCGGTTCAACCAGCTGGTCCAATCCGGATTTCAAAACACTGCTTATTTTGTATGAAAGAAAAGTGCAAATATGTTGTATATATATATGAGGGTTATATCATATATGTAAGCCATTTCACACCTTTTTAGCTAACCAACTTGATATATATATATATATATATATATATATACACACTGGGATTAAAGTTTCTTTATATTTTTGTACCACACATTAAGATTTTTTTTTATTTTTTCGTCTAATGAAAAGTTTAGAACTTTTTTTTTCTTTCTTCAATTTAATTGTAATTAATAATCCAACTCCAACTCTTTTACTATTACTCGTTATTAATCTAAGAACAAAGAAGAGCAATAAATCAAAAAAAAAGAGAAAAAAGAAAGAAAGATAAAGATATAAACAAATAAATTCCTATATATATACAACTCCCCAAATTCAGCAATATCCGTTACTCATAATTAATTAATTAATTAATTAATCAATTAATAGTCATAATTGAACTTCACTGAATCCCATTAATTTCAATCTGGAAACCTTTCAAATTTGATTATATCATCCATTACAAATGGCATGCATGCAGATCCAATTGCCACAAATAGCCATATAATATACATACACTATTGATACATATATATATATATATGTATATATGTATGTAGACACGGTCACGGCCCGGTTCAGGCCGTGGCCGTGTCTATATGCATCTATTTATGATATATCAACTTTGAATTATAATTTTCAGTAATATGTGGTCTCTTGTTTCAGTTCGGCGGCCGCACCCGTACATACATCTCCTTTCTCAATCGAACCAGAAACCGGCCCGGCCCGGCTATCATCGCATTTTCCGGCGGAATTTATAGATCGACTCTTGTTATTTTGTACGAATGCAAAAGTTCAAATATGTCATGCCGGTTCATATATATATATATATATATATATATATATATATGCACCATTTCAAACCTTTTAGCCTAACAAGAAGTTGATGGAGAATTTTGTACTCGTTATATATAGCATGGGATTTAAGTTTTTTTTATATGTTTGTATCACAATTGAAAGTTTGAAACTCTTCCATTTTTTAATTGGAAACACTCTCTCTCTCCCTTAAACGATACAGTAGAACGTCGATAAATTAATATCCTCACTTAAATAGTAAATTTTTTTGATCCCGACTCAGTGAAAATGTATTAAACTATTAGTTCGATAATTTAATATTTCACTAAATTAATAAAAAAATTATAGTGTACAACCAAACAAATTGATATTAACTCCACAAACTTCATCATTCGTCACACGTAATTAATAGTCATAATTGAACTTCACTGAATTCAATTTTCAATAAAAGAAAACAAAAAATTCAAATTAGAGTGTATCATCATTTACAAATGTCATGCATGCAGAATTGCAGATTGAATCCTTCAAATTAAATTAATTACAAGTCCCCAAACCCAATCTATTTTTTTTTTTGTGTGCATACGACTATTTATTTATTATTTTCTTTTTATTTTATTATTTTTAGTTTTTGATAAATAAAGTTGTTTTTATTTCTGGACCTATATTACGTAACCTAAGTTGTCTTGGTCCGAATAGTTTGTTACATAGCTTTTAATGTTTAAAGCACACATCTGCATTTCTTCCCTTTTTGGTGATGCATGCTTCACTTCTATATTCATTATTGATATAAAGTTTGATTCGAGCTCGATTAATTAATTAATTAATTAAAAAAGTTTGATAAATTATGTATGTAAAAGTAAAAAAATTCATACATATTTGATGCGATTAAAACTTGTTTGAATTTAATAAGTTAAGTAATTTTATCGAATCTAAAGTTAGACAAAAGTCTATCCAAAGTTAAATATTCTATTTGTTCCATAATAACTGTTTATTTTTTAAAATAACTTTGTTCCATATATTTTAAATTTGCATTTCTATTGTTTTAACCTTATTAATCAAACTCTTAGTATTAACTATCTCTTATCACGCTATTAAATATTTAATAAGAACTTTGAAAAGTGTACAACATATATATAAGAAATTAAATAATTTGGGACAAATATTTTAATGTGATGTGATAAAATATTCAATTTATTTGAATATCGAAAGACTTTCTTAAAGCATATTTTGTGCATAAATTTTGACTAGCACAAAAACTTTGAAGTCTTATAAATTGAGGTGTACAATTTAAGATAAAGTTATTAATGTATGATTAATTTCAAATATTACTTAAGAAATAGCAATTTATCTTGAAATTGCTTCAAATTCAGTTATCATTTTGCACACATAATTTCGACTTTTAATATTTTATTTTTCACATTATTCAAATTTCAAATATAAATAAATTTTTTTCAAAAAGAAAATATTTTTGTATTTATTTTTTCAAGAAAAGGGGAAATGTATTTGTTGAACAAAAAATAATGTAGACCATGAGAACTTGGACTTAAAATAGTTTTGACATTTGAAATTTTTATTTAGGATTTTTCTCACAAATATTCCGAGTCGTGCAAGAGATGATCTAGTAGTTGTCGAAAATGAGTTTGTGTCAATTGATCTAAATTCGAATTTCCTTGCCAAAGGTCGCTGGATTGAGTTTGTCACACATGGTTATCCTAGTGTGTTTTAGCTATTGTACAAGATTTTACGGATTGCACTTATACGGTTGACTGATGGTCCTTCATTATAAAAAATAGGGTAAATTACAACCACCCCCGAGGTACGGTCAATTTACAAAAAACTACTCTTGTTTGGATAATTACATATATATCCCCTTAATTATGATTTTTTTTTACACCTCTACCCTTATGGTGTCAAATTCAACATAATCATCTAAATTTCGTGGAATGTGCTCTAGTTTGTACTCGTTTTGTGTAAAAATACAGTTTCTGATGCACCGCAATCTGATATATACAATTCAAAAAATACATATTATGAACATCTTGCTTCAAAATATGAAGTTCGAATGGGATAAAATGGGTATAAAAGTGATAATATTTCATATAATCTCGAAAATTCGACTAAATTTGAAACCGCAAGGGTGGACGTGTAAAAAAGTTTATAATTAAGGGGTGGTTGTAATTACCCAAACATGAGGGGTTTTTCGTAATTTGATCATAGCTCAGGGGTGGTTGTAATTTACCCTAAAAAATTAAATAAAAATACTTAAATACTTGGAAAAAAAAATGTTTGTTTTTAATTGGTGAAATACTTCAATTTTGGGAAAACCCCAGTTCATCAACAACTCAAAGTCAAATTAATTTATTTTCAATGTCAACTTTGAAATTGTAAATCTTCCCAAAGTGCAAAGAAGAAAATTCCATAAGCAATTTGCAATCACAAATATCCACGTGTCTTGTATATAGGAGTACATATGTGTGTACAATAGATAGTTGAATATTAATTTTAAAATACAATATTGCAAATTTTCAAAAGACAATTTTCTCAACCCTAAATTTATTAGACATATAAAATCGATTGACTTTTAGTTACATACTTTTTTTTTCTCTTTTTTTTATTCTTAAGATTAAGAATATATATATTTTGATATACATTTATTAAACATATGCAAAATAAAAAAGAAATAAATACATGCAAGTTGGAAAAAAAAAATATAATTACCATATCGAATATAAAATTAAATAAAAACAAAAGTTCAAAAAGTGATGATGTACGAGGGCAAAATACATCCCCTCATTACCTTTTCCAACATTAATTAATTAATAAATAAATAAATTAATTAACTAATTAATTAATTTTTTTGTCTTGGAAAAAAAAGGGGTTGTTTCCTCGCACCTCTTTCCTTAGTCTTGAATTCTTGATCCCTCGACTTGACCGGTCATGGTCAAACTAATGCTCCCCCTTTTCTTGGCTCAACTCAACTGACACGTGTCCTTCTTCTATTCTATAGATATTTGATTCACAAAAACTGCGCTCTACTTTTTTTTCCCAACTTCCCACAAAATAATATTTTTTAACAATAATAAGAGACCAACTCTGAATTTTCTTACACGTCCATATTTATGGCTTCAAATTAAATAGAATATTTTCGATTCCGTAAAATGTTCTTAAATTTGTACTTGTTTTGTGCAAAAATGCAGTTTCTGATGCACCATAATATGATATTTACAAGCCAAGAGACACATCTTATGATCATCTTGTTTTAAAAAGTGGAGCTCGAATGGTACAAACTGGAGAATGTTTCACATAATCTAGAAGATTCTACAATATTTGGTACCGTAAGGGTGAACGTGTAAGAAGATTCATAATTGAGGGACGGTTATAATTACCCAAACACGAGGGATTTTTTCGTAATTTGGCCTTATTTCAGAGAGTGACAGTAATTTATTCTAATAATAATAATAATAATAATAATAATAATAATAATAATAATAATAATAATAATAATAATAATAATAATAATAAATTGAGAAAAAAAATGAGCTGGAGGGAGATTCCATGGGGGTAGTATTGAAGCTATTTAATTGCAAAAAATGGGCAGTCTTGTTGGCTATATATATACCTCTCTTTAACTCCATTTTCATTCATATCCAACAACAACAAGAAAGAAGCAAAGTTACTCAAAATTCTCTCTCTCACTTAAAACAATAAAAGATAGAAAAGAAAAAAAATCATCATGGAATTCATTTCCTTGTGTTGTTTCTTGATATCATCCTTAATCTTCTCAATATTTGTCCTAAACAAAATCCTCAAACTATTATCCTTTGGCAATGTCAAATTGCCACTCCCTCCGGGCACAATGGGTTGGCCTTACATCGGCGAAACTTTCCAACTCTACTCCCAAAACCCCAACACTTTCTTCGCCTCCAAAATCAAGAAGTAAGCCTCCCGAAAAAAAAAATCGAATCTTTCTACCTAGTCTTGATCAAAATTGATCATAAAATAATGGGTTCGTCTTAATTTATCGCTTTTTTTGGTTGTGTAGGTACGGTTCGATATTCAAGACACACGTATTGGGGTGCAACTGCGTGATGATTTCAAGCCCGGAAGCGGCAAAGTTGGTATTGGTCACAAAATCTGATCTTTTCAAGCCTACATTCCCGGCTAGCAAAGAAAGAATGTTAGGCAAGCAAGCTATTTTCTTCCACCAAGGCGACTACCATTCGAAGCTCAGAAAGCTCGTCCTTCGATCTTTCATGCCCGAATCCATCAAAAACATCGTACCCCAGATCGAATCCTTAGCCGTCAAATCCCTCGAATCTTGGGAAGGCCAATTGATCACCACTTTTCAAGAAATGAAAACCGTAAGTCTTCTTCTTTTTCCTTCTCACCAAAACCTCAAAAAAAAAAAAAAAAACAGAGCAAACAGAGTAAAAAAACAGAGTAAAAAACAGAGGAAAAAACAGAGGAAAACAGAGTAAAAAACAGAGCATCCCCTGTTTTTTTTTAAATTCTTGGTGATGAATTCTTCATTTAATTGCAGTATGCATTCAATGTGGCACTACTTTCTATATTTGGAAAGGATGAAGTATTGTACAGAGAAGATCTTAAAGAGTGTTACTACAGCCTCGAGAAGGGGTACAATTCGATGCCGATCAATTTCCCGGGCACACTTTTCCACAAGGCAATGAAAGCTAGGAAAGAATTATCGAAAATCTTGGCGAAAATTCTGTCGCTCCGGAGACAAATGAAGATGAACCACACCGATTTACTAGGTTCATTCATGGAAGATTCTGAAGGTTTAACCGACGAACAAATTGCCGATAATATAATCGGCGTAATATTCGCGGCCCGTGATACTACAGCTAGTGTACTAACTTGGATTGTCAAGTACCTTGCGGAAAATCCATCTGTTCTTCAAGCTGTTACTGTAAGATTTCTTTATAAGTTATAACTCTTTTTTTTTTTCTTTAATTTTTAATTTTGTATAAAAAATGGAAATATATATATATTTTTTTATTTTTAAATATTAAATGTGTGTAAAATTAATTATTATGTAGGAAGAGCAAGAGGAGTTGAAAAAGAATAAGGAAGAAAATGGTTTGAATTGGGCAGACACAAAAAAGATGCCAATTACAACTAGGGTTATTCAAGAAACACTTAGGGCTGCTTCGATTTTATCGTTTACATTTAGAGAAGCTGTTGAAGATGTCGAATTTAACGGTGAGTTTTATTTTAATTATTAATTATATATATAATCGAGTATTCGTTTTATTCGCACGTAACAACACACACATCCATGTCGGTGCGTGCAAAAATTGAATTTTTATTTATTTTTGTTTATTAATAGGGTATCTAATTCCAAAAGGATGGAAAGTATTGCCACTTTTCAGAAACATTCACCACAGCCCAGATAATTTCACTGACCCTGAGAAATTTGATCCTTCAAGATTTGAGGTAAATAAATATTCATCTATTATTTTATTTTTTTAATTTAGTAAAAATAAAATGAAGCTAATTTATTTATTTAATTTCTTGATGTGACAGGTGGCTCCAAAGCCCAATACATTTATGCCATTTGGCAGTGGGATCCACTCCTGTCCAGGGAATGAGTTGGCCAAGCTGGAGATCTTGGTTCTTGTACACCATCTCACCACTAAATACAGGTAAAATTAATTTTTGATTTTTTTTTTCTCTGTAGTAAAATATATATATATATATATATATATATATATAATATGTGATATGATTTATTCTAATGATAAGGTTTGTTTGGGTTGATTTAATCTTTGCAGATGGAGTATGATGGGCCCACAAAATGGTATTCAGTATGCACCCTTTGCTCTTCCCCAGAATGGACTTCCCATTACACTCTCTCTCAAAAGATAGTAATTCTAGAGAGAGAAACAGCTAGAGAGAGAGAGAGAGAGAGAGAGATGTACATATAAAGAGTTGCAATTCACAGCATAAGGAAGAAAGAATAGGACTCAATGTAATAGTAGTACTACATAGTTAGGTATTATTCAATTTTAATTGTAGTTTTTTTTGGGTTTTTTTTTTTACTTGTTTTGGGTATTTTCGACATGTAAAAAAGTCCGTAAGGCAGTTATTATTGTAAGAATAGTGTCTTCGAGTTTTGATCGAAAAAATTCATCCTTAAATTCTTGTTATTAGTATTGTTGTTACATATTCATATTCGTTTGTGAAGATTAACGAGATATATATGCAGTCCCGACAACGTAACCGTAGTTTGTGAACCGCTAACCGCTGGTTCATGGATCAATCAAACCCTAACCATGGTTCGGGTTAAGCATATCGATTG